TACAAAATGAGACTATTTTGTCGGGTAGCCACGTTGTGGGAGATTCTTTTAAATGTCTGTTTATTTTTTTAGAGAGAGAGAGCACTGGCAGGGGAGGGAGGTATGGAGGGAGGAGAGAGGGAGAGAGAGAGAGAGAGAGAGAGAGAGAGAAATTGACAGAAAGAATGAGAATGAGAATGAATTCCAAGCAGGCCCCATGCTGGGTATGGAGCTGCCCAATGCAGGATGATTGCACAGCCATGAGATCATGACCTAAGCCAAAATCAAGAGTCAGTCGCTTAACCGACTGAGCCACCCAGGAGCCCCAGTTCTCCCTATTTTTATGGTGGCTTCTTAGGGAAAGGGGTGAAGATCCAGGAGAGCACCGTCTTTCTTCCCCATCCTACCCTTTCCCCCTACTGATTTAACACTGGTCAAATGTAGGCATTTGGGGCACTGAAAGAAAGAAAAGGGAGGTAGACTGTGTTTGGGCTCCAGAGCTCTAAGCTGCTACTTCTTAGAATAATAATGTCTATGGCAGGATCAGCCATCACTCACATTTTAGGTTCCCAATTGCTAGCCTAACAGTAATGGATTGCTACAGACCAAGCAAAAAACTACACATCATTCCCCACCCCCCAAAAAACATTAAATCTAGCTTAAGTCTTCATTACCAGAGTTTTCAGGAATTCGAGTATCAGTGACTACAGGCCTACCCTCTTTAGGAAAATTTATCTAAAACTTGTAGATAAGGCAACAAGATTACTACATGCCTTTTCATTGTCATACTAGAATATTGTCCAATAAGCCCTTCTAAAGATCACATTGTGTTCTAGGCCCTACCCCTGTCCACTGTGGTAGCTCCCTGTGGCTGTCAAGCACCTGAAATGTGGCTAGCATAACTAAAATCTTGTGCTGGAAAAGTGACAAACACACACGAGATTTTGATGACTTCCCACAGAAAGTAAATCTCAGTAATTTTTATATTGACATATGCTGAAGTAACATAGATATATGGTTAAAATATCTTATTAAAATTAGTTTCACCATTTTTACTTTTTTTACCTTCTAAAATGTGATTACTAGAAAATTTTAAGTTATTTATGTTTCTTATATTATATTCCTGTTGGACTGTGCTGCCCTAGACTTTACAAGAAGGTAACTGACTATTTACTCCTAATCAGGGCCCAGACTAGGAAGTTTGATGTTAACCTGTCAGGATTAATAAACTGCAGATGATTTCTGTTAATAACAAAAAGATAAACCCCAAAATTTTTATTTTATGACGCTATAGGGAATAAAATAGTTTTGTATCTAACTTGGTAAATTTCATTCATGCATGTTTTCGTTTATTAACAATTTGACTAGACTTATCTCTGATGGTTGTACCAAAGAGAATTATTGTTATAAGTCAAAAGTTACTTTTCTGAAAATTCTCTGGCTATTATTGTCAAAAAGACTATTAGTCATATTGATCATATGATTTAATGGATATAAATTTAAAAGTGTTACTCTGTGAACTATTTATATGTATATTTGGAATTTTTCTTCACTGAATTGTCTTGCTTTGTATCCCTAAAAGATGATGAAAAGGAAGTGAAAATAATGAAGGACACTGATACTGAATTTCAGTCGTTTTCCTTCACTTTACTTGCTGCTACGTTTATGTAAATAAAGGCAGAGTAACTACATTGTGTTTTAAGGTTGCAGACCTCATCCCCAAGGAAAACTTTACAAAGGTCCTTATTCCTAGCTCTGAGCCCACAGAAATAACTTAACCTACACCTGGGACATGTGCTGTTGTCCTACCGCCATCCATAAGGATGAGGCATTTTTTATAAACCCCTTGTAAAAACATAGCAGAAGCCATTTTGGCAGTGGTGATGCCACTGGTTCTAGGTACACAAATCCCCTATTTGTGGCCTTCTTGAACACTTGGTTTGCTAACTCTTTTGAAATAGCATTTGAGATGGGCTACTAAATAGAGGAATCTGTTATACATTCCATTGGCTATTTTTTGTTTGTTTGCTCACCGTTGAAACTCTAAGGAGATAAGACAGTAATAAAGAGGAACATAGAAGACTGGAGGTTTAAGCTTCAGCTCTCATAGCTACCAAAATAAATAAGTACAGCTCTATAGAGCTGTAGTTAAGGCAAAAGAGAACATCCAGACAAAGTAAAGTCAAAGTCCCTTTTTCTTCACCCTTCCTCCTTTTTCTTTTGCATCTAGATATTTGGGAAATTGCTTTAACAATGAATTATTAGGTGTGATGTTTTATTTTATTAGGTTGGAATGAAATACAGAAACCTAATCCTGAAACCTGGGGGATCTCTGGACGGCATGGACATGCTGCAGAATTTCTTGAAACGTGAGCCAAACCAAAAAGCGTTCCTAATGAGTAGAGGCCTGCATGCTCCATAAACCGGGGATCTTTGGTAGCAGTCCATGTCTGGAGGACAAGTCGACATCACCATGTGTTACTAGCCCGGAAACTGAATGGAGTTTTGCAAATGAAAGTTTAGATTTCTATTGACTGTCTTTTGTTTTTCACTTTGAAAAATTACACAGATGTAAATGGAATTATAAATACCATGACCTAAGAAAAGACCCATCAGAAAATAATTGTACTATAAAATTTCATAACAATGGATTTGATTTCTTTTTATACAAGTTTCATATGAATGTAATTTGATTTTTTACTATTGTAATCTAGATAACATAATGTAAGAGGGCTAAGAATTTTTAAATTGAATCATATACATTATATAATTTGATCCTTCTTTATATCTTGAAGTTTTGTACTTGGTATTTCTGGACTGATAAATGAATCATCACATTTCTCTGGTAAATATTTTCTTGGAGCCCTGTGTCACCTTTGACCCTCTGTCTCACAGTAACGCGTGACCTCTTTGTCCACATACCTAAGGGCCAGGGGAATATGCCTCAATAATGCGTTTATCTTTGGATTTCAGGCCTCATTATTTCTCCTTTTCTGCCGCACTTAAATTATGTTCCACCATTGGGATTTATCTTTTCTAAAGTCCTATCACAGAGTACCAAAAAAAGTAAGAGTTTTAACTGAACTGGCCTATGTATATTGCTTTTGTATGTTGCGTTAGAGGATTGTAGATCTTGCATCAGAGGTTCGTTTCCGCCACAGTATACAAGGTTGTCAGTCCTTTGGCATATTTGCCAATTAGAACACTAAAACAAGTCCAAGGATATGTTTCTTTTCTCATGTTTCTGATAAGTGGTACGGACTTTGCCTCCTTTATTCCCATCTCACCCAAAGTGACAGATATACATATCACCAATGGCAGTTTAGGGAAGAGAGCTGAAGGTGGTGTGGAGCAGAAAGAGTTCAGAAACTCCAGAAGAGGAGTGGGTTCTGGACAGAAGTGTTTGAGGACAGCTGCTCCAAAGTGTTACGTGTCCTCAACCACAGGGAGGAGGATTTCATAGCCTATCTTGTCTGGTGATTTTTATTTTAAGCGAAACTTTGGATCTCTCTTTAACTTTCATTTCTGTGAGTCTAAATTGTACTTCTAAAGCAGACCAGTAAACTCACAGGACTTATTTTTCCCTAGGAGTCTACTCAGTAAGGAAACCAAAATAGGATAATAAAAAATTTTTAATTAAAAAATCCAAACTTCACATATACTCTGATAGGTCTTCCAGTTGGTTCCCGCTGTGTATCTGAGGTATGACTTTGCTGGTGAGGGACAAAATTAGACAGATGGACTTTGCGCTAAATAAAAACATATATATTATGCTGCATAATAAAATTATAGACAGTGGGAAAGGTTAAGAGCTCTAACAACGCAGAAGAAAATTCCGGGATTATTATTGCCAAGCAAATACGTTAAAAATGCACATGAAATCCAACCCTCCCTTCTGAGATCATCGCCTGGCCCTTCTCTCCCACAAAGTAGTTTTTTTGGTGTTAGTAACCTGTGGTACTCTTCTCATATCTTTTTTTTTTCTTCCAGACTGTTCTGTTTTCCAGTTTCAGACAAAAACTTTTTTCAGCATTTTCTATTGCCTTTCTGTGTGTCTCCTTAACAATAACTTTATCATTTTCAATCTCAACTTACTTCACATGGAAAAACTAATACTTGGTGTGAAACAGGTTGCACACAATAAAGTTGCATTATTATCCATAAGAATGAACTCACATTTCTTTCATACTTAAATGTTTAAGCTGAAATGCCTAAGAAAACAAAAGTGCTATGATGTTCTTTTTATTTAGAGTCCATATATGATACTTAAAATCTACCAAAGCACGGCAACAAATTTAAATACTTACTCTTTACAATAATTAAAAACTAAGAACTAATTTTTTTCTTTTTTTTTTTAATTTTTTTAAATGTTTTTATTTATTTTTGAGACAGAGAGATAATAGAGTCATGAAGCAGGGGAGGCAGAGAGAGGGAGTGCACATTGACTGGGGCGGCTCCAGGCTCTGAGCTGTGAGCACAGAGCTCCGGCCGCCACAAGCTCATAAACCAGGATCGAGATCCTGACCGGTCAAGTCGGATGCTTAAACAGACTGAGGCCACCCAGCTCTACCCAGAACTAATTTTTAAAAGACTTTTTGAATGTGGCCATTTATCTACCTTCTTTTTTTCTTTTTTTTTTTTCATATCAGAGTATAGAGTGTTGGTAAGGTTCTCAATGGTGGATAACTATAAAAATTGTAATTAGCCAAGCCACACTTCAGGTTTGTGAGCTGAGCAACATATAATAAGGTATGTCTTGATTATTGACCCAAGATATTTAGGTCTGTTTCAGGTTACTACAGACAAGAGAAAGAAAAGCCATGATGTTTTGCTACCTAATACAGATTTTTTTTTTCCCTTTAGTGCAAATGCTACATGTTACCTAAATGAATAACTAAAAGTGATCTTGAAGAGTTACCACCTGAGCTATTTATGTGAAAATCTTGCTTTTCTAAAATTAATATGATAAAAGGTGGATATCTGTAGCTCTGTAGACTTGACAAACTGCATTGTGTACGAGGCCAAAATAGAGAAAATATTTTTTTAATTTTTAAAGGATATGATTTTATGCTTGTACTTTCCTTAAGTAATAGGAAATGACTTATTTCCCATTTTGCCTTTAGCCTTTGTATATGAATTAATGTGTATAACAATCCTGTCTCTTTGGTGGATCAGCTGGTTTGTTTATGACCATTATTCATTTTTTCCTTTGCGTTCATGCACAGGAAGAATTTTCCATGCTCTGAGGGAATTGAATTAAAACACTAATCCCCCAAATTAGGTTTAGAGGTGGTTAACTGAGCCCCTAAAAGTGTAAAAAGAGAAACCATATATCATCTAAATAGATGCAGTGACCAAGGCTTCCTTCTTCTCTCAATGCAACATTATTATAGTTACAGATCTCCCATATGAAATTGGATAGCCCTTCAAAATTGAATATGCCTTCTCTTACAAGAGTTTGGTGGGAATAAAAGGGGGGAAAAAAGACATGCTTTCATTTTCTTTGAAAACCAGTCAATGTGCAACATTTACTTTTTCAATTGTCTTTTTCAGAAACTTGCACCGGAAACAGAGCCACCTAAGTGATTCATCTAGTCCCAACTGTATCAGGGCAAAAGGTAAAGGTTATAAAATCTGAATACTAGATCAGTGTAGCCTTTTCTAACACACCCACAGTAATGCTATACATGGAGACTTTGTCTGAAAAAAATCTTGAAAAACTGGGCCAGTGAACAGAACCCCTCATACATCCCTCTCCAGTGAGTGATTCTTGAGCTTTTATTTGGTTGAATTTACCTTGTAGTCTTTCCTAATAAAATATAGATCCCGTGCATCTGGACCACTGTGCATGTACAAGAAAAGGTAAATGGTGAATATGACACAGGCTCTCTTGTTTCTGCTCACATGACCTGGCATCCATTCTGGCTGCTTACTTCATAGAGCTTGGAGGCTCACCTAAAATTGTACTGTGATGACAGAATGTCCCTAGCATCTGTTGTTGGAGAAACTGTATGGCTTAGACTGGTTTTAAGGTACCGTATTCACTGAATCTGGCAAGAAACCTGGCATCTCTATTGAAATCTTTGTGGCTCAGATAGATAATTGTTAGCGAGGTGGATTCCTAGCTATTGAAACAACCTAAGAGAGCTGAATAATGATTCACACTAAACCAAAGAAAATTTCCAATCCTTTGGATGAAGACACAAGAAATTCCATAGACGGTATTATCAAATTTACAGATAACAGAACTGCAGTCGTTGAAAATGTTATCATTAAGATTTAAAATTATTTCCATGCCGAGGCGAATTTAAGACAAAATTAGACACATTCCATTGCCAAGGTAAACAGAGGGGAAACCTGACTTGATGGTACTCAGAAAAAAAAAGACATGACAGTTTGGGGCACCTAGGTGGCTCGGTTGAGCGTGCAACTTCAGCTCAGGTCATGATCTCACAGCTCGTGGGTTCGAGCCCTGCATTGGGCTCTGTGCTGACAGCTCAGAGCCTGGAACCTGTTTCAGATTCTCTGTCTCCCTCTCTCTGCCCCTAACCCACTCACATTCTGTCTCTGTCTCTCTCAAAAATAAACATTAAAAAAAAATTTTAATAAAAAAAAAAAAAGACATGACAGTTTTATTTGACCAAATTCCAATATAAGCCCACACAGTACAGCACACCTGGGAGGGGTACAGAAGGTAAGAATGAAAGCCTATAAGAGTGTGTTGATGGAAGGTTGTGTCCAGATCAAAAGAATTCCTCTGGACCCATGTGCTAAGATCATTCACAGCTAGAATATCGTGTTCTGTTCTAGGTGTCACATTTTAAGCAGATTTTGACCAAGTATTACAGTGTTTGAAAGAGTAGGGACAGGCAGGTGATGACTTCTCGAGAGGAATACATTGAAGAAAGGGAATTTCAGCCTTCCTGAAGGTGAATTCAGCAATACAAATGAAAGCTGTATTCAAATACTTAAGGTATGGCAGAGAGGATAGGTTATTCTACATCTCCAGAAGCCAAAGCTTAGAAAAATGGTTGGAAAATACAAAGAGGTTTTAATTCAACATGAGAAAGTTGTTTCTAATAATTATTGTTGACTGAAATATATTCTGCTGCTGTTAATGAAGATCAAAGCAAAGCTTGTGGCTACCAGGAGTGTTACAGCAGGCATTCCTCCTTTGAGTAGACTTTCATACCAGATCAGCTTTGAAGTCTCCCCAAAGTTTAAGATGCAACAAATGTATAATCTTCATCAGAAAAACATCACTCGGGTGAAAGTAACGTTTACACACTGGATCTTACAAATGGTATGTAGATGATTGCAGCTGCCCATATGGCAGATATCTGATTTAAGCATTTATAGTTTATATTGCCTTATTCCTCTTCCGTAATTAGTCAGTGCTTATCCAGAGGTCATTATCAGACT